TTTAATGGTAATTTTCATCTTCTTATTCTTAGGTTTCTGAGCAATAACATATTTCATATGTTCAGAAAAGACAAAACAAATCAAATAATAAATTTTACACCTCTTACACTAAGTTTAAGAAAATATTAAAGTCTTTATTAACCGTGTTGCCTCTGTCAGCTTCCTTAGAAACAAATATATTTGAGTAAAAAACCTCAAAGACGCAGATTTCTGCTTTCAGCGAACCAAAAATAATAATTTCTAACAAGTGAGGCCACTTTTTTAAAAGCTAAAAATGCCTTGATATCATTTTTTTATTTTATTATATGGTTTGTTTACTGCTAATTTTCCTCTTCTTATTCTGAAGTTTCTGAGCTATAACATATTTCATATGTCCACTCATACAAAAAAGGCCACAAATAAATCAAATAATACATTTTACACCTCTTATGCTAAGTTTAAGTCTTTATTGTACCGTGTTGCCTCTGTCAGCTTCCTTAGAAACAAATATATTTGAGAAAAAACCTCAAAGACGCAGATTTTCTGCTTTCAGCGAACCAAAAATAATCATTTCTAACAAGTGAGGCCACTTTTTCAAAAGCTAAAAATGCCTTGATATAATTTTTTTTATTTTATTATATGGTTTGTTTACTGCTAATTTTCCTCTTCTTATTCTTAAGTTTCTGAGCTATAACATATTTAATTTGTCCATTCGAGCAAAAAAGACCAACAAAAATCAAGTATTACATTTTACACCTCTTATGTTAGAAATAATAAAGAAAATATTAAAGTCTTTATTGTACAGTGTTGCCTCTGTCAGCTTCCTTAGAAACAAATACAGGACTGTCTCAGAAAATTAGAATATTGTGATAAAGTTATTTATTTTCTGTAATACAATTAAAAAACATGAAATTTTATACATTCTGGATTCATTACAAATCAACTGACATATTGCAATCCTTTTATTGTTTTAATATCGCTGATTATGGCTTACAGCTTAAGAAACCCAAATATCCTATCTCAAAATATTAGAATATCGGATTTTTGAGTTTTCTTCAGCTGTACGCCATAATCAGCGATATTAAAACAATAAAAGGCTTGAGATATTTCAGTTGATTTGTAATGAATCCAGAATGTATGACATTTCATGATTTTTAATTGCATTACAGAGAATAAAGAACTTTATCACCATATTCTAATTTTCTGAGACAGTCCTATATATTTGAGTAAAAAACCTCAAAGACGCAGATTTTCTGCTTTCAGCGAACCAAAAATAATCATTTCTAACAAGTGAGGCCACTTTCCTGCTGTTAGAGGAGTTCTTCTTCAGCATCAGATCGGCTTCACGCTTTTATCCAAACGCCGAATTTCTTCCTGTTCCAGATCACTGCTGAACAGTAATTGGAACAAAAAGAAGGAGGCTTTGAGCTGGGATCCTTTGCTCAGATTTGCTGGAGATACCTGCAGTTATTTTGCGAGGCGAGGAGAAGCGTGACAGAGTGAAGTGTTTCTGTGTTTGATCAGTTTGTTTTGATCACTCCCGTTTGTGTTTGTACTCGTTACTCCGGGTTCCTTCTGTTGGCCCTCTGGTTCCCCGCTGCTCTTATCTGCCATTTGATGAAAGAAACTGCACCTCTTTGTCAGCCATTACTCCCCGTTTCCCCTCCTGTGTTTATTCTCTGCTCCACTTTTTACTCAGATATCGTAACTATGTGTTGCATGCATTCAGATTCAACCCAGTCTGTTAGGTTTTTCTGTTCTGTGCTGCATTTATTAAGTTTTAAGCATCCATACTGTTACTTTAAATAAGAATTGATGTCTGAATAACATTTTATGTGTCAGTTGTTCATACTTTTTTCTCTTAGTGGATGATATCCCTATTGTTTATCTATCTATCTATCTATCTATCTATCTATCTATCTATCTATCTATCTATCTATCTATTTGTGTATATTTATACATATATATGTATATATATATATATATATAAAACAACGACTACTTATCATTCTGCTAAAATTTACCCCTAAAGAAATAAAATCATCAATGTAGGTACCGAGGAAGAAAATATTCTTATAAACTATGTTTTATTGAGCCATTACAGTGATGAGAAATCATATTGTATGTTTAAATGTAACAGTTTAGGTTCTTTTCATACGACTGCATTTAACCAATCTGTTTGTCACCATTTCTTCCCTTTTTGCTACTTAGATGTAATCTGGTGAAAATTCCTTTCTTAATACACCTATATATATATGTTTATATTTTTATGTTTATGCATTTAGCAGACGCTTTTATCCAAAGCAACTTACAGAGTAGT